GGGCATCTTTGCTTAGACTGCTGCCCCCGCGACCCGGTCCCGGATAAGCGGAGGAAAATGGATGGATAACTGGCTTTCGCCTACTTGTTGGCAGCAGAAACAAGTTAGGAACACAACTCAAAGACAAGTTTTAATTTGGCAAACTTGTTAAACACTTAACTTGCCAGTAAGTATGGAGAAACATTAGCCTTAAATAGGAGTCTGGTCAAACGTGTCAAATATTTGAATATTTAAAAGTTTTGAAGAGAATAAAGAAACCAACACATTTGGATTTAGATTATAAAGTTATATTAGAGCAGCTTTAAGCAGATATTTCTTTGCTGTGTTGCTCTCTGCAGCTTATAAATAAACTCAATTTCTCCAGTTACTACAATGATGTAGCCACAATGTGACAGTGTGTTTTATTCAATTTCAGATGTGTTTTCAAACAGTATGTGTCCTATATGTGATAGAGTGCCCACCAGTTGAATGCTGCCCACTATCTTTATGAATTACTCTGCAAACTGTGACACTGTGTGATGGTTTTGTGTTCGCAAAGGGTCAAGTGGGGACAGAGAGGGCTGGGTGGAGTGGAGGGGAGTGATTTTAGAATCACATGCTAGGGCTAGCTAGATTTCTTATGTCACATATTTCACCTTTAACAAGTAACTAACTACAGACACTGCAGCTCTTATGACATCCATAAAGTACATGAAAAGGGCGACAAGGCTTTACATAAAATGACGCTTTTATTCGACTGCATTTGAAGAGCATTCATTCTAGTACAAACTGATCTGCTTGGCCATGTTCTTTTTGCTCTTTGAAGACTAGAAGCAAAAACAGCAAACATTTTACAGCCCATAGTTACATATAATGCACTTCTCGCAGTTTGACACTAGATAACCGCATGCATGGATGTTTCTAAGAAGACGAGTCTGAAGGTATAGTTGATCAATAAATAAAACTGAAATAGCACATAAAACTAGACAAGGACAAATATATGACATCTTATATTCTTCAGGCTTCATACATTCTTTAATCTCCGACACAGATGAGCAGATTTTCAATTGACATTTTTGCCCAAGTGATTGTTATTTACAGAAAAAGCATACCTGTAAGTAAATCAGTAAAACAAACGACCAATTTTATGGTTGGTAATTCAGTGCACTGACAAACCTCTTCCCAGTTCTCAATCCAATTACCTCGTATCTTCAACATCTAGCTGGTTACAAAGGACGCTCACATTCTGCTGATGCGGGGGGGTTTTCACACTGGAACAGCTCCCGGACGACAGCTTCATTGAGAATATGGGCTTCCTTTTTCCCAGTGCACACATCTTCTCCATTTGTTGGTTTTGGTGCACACATGTAAAACATGTCCAAACGGCGATGCAGCTTCACTCTTAAAATGCCAACTGTGACAGACCTGAGGAAACAGAGCATGATCTGTCCTTTAAATGGCCACATCAGACATTCAAATATGTCAACACAACAGTAAATAAAACATTTAAAATAAATTTACTTTTGTTTTTTATTAATTAATTGAAAATCCTCCTAGGAGAGTCAGACAGGGCAAACCTTGCTGCCCAACATATATCAATATGCCACAGCCTAAAGGGACAGTGAATGACCTAGTTACACACAGAACACATACAAACCCAATATACTGTACGTATAAGATTTACATATTGATCTAAAGGTTTTTTTCTCTTTCTTGCTTTTGAAGTGTCAAATTATTTGACAATCATATATTAAAGCAGAACTGAACTGATATGAATGGACAGATATCATCAGTTCAGAATCAGAACCATAGTGGTCAGAGATTTAATACTACTACAGTTTATACTGCATATTCCATCATTTATGCAGCGCAAATGAAACCAACACATATTTGTGCATTACCAAGGTTGAGTTTGTCCTTGGTGGCCCAGCTGATGCTGTAGTGTTGAAGGAGCTGCTGCAACAGCTCCTTCTCGTCCAGGAACTCCAGATGCTCAATTCTGCAAGGGACAAAATCAACAAGCATCTGTTCAGTATTTCATCTGATTTACCTCCCTCCACTGTGAAAATGTGACTAGTTTGTTGCTTCACTTAAACAGAGTTAATAAAGTTTTGCTTTATAAGTGGGGTTTCAGTCCTGGCTGCTCTAAGTCAGTGAAGTCATTTATTTATTAAGTTTTACAACACTATACATTGGCTGTGTATTTATAGGACTCCATTTGAAAAATCCTCCTCATCAAATCTGATGACATTATCAGTGCTAGTTTCTAAGACCTTAAAAAGCCCCTTCAGAGCCACAGAAGACATTATTCAAACAGTTTTCATAGGCTGAGTGGTTTTTCTTGTGACGCGTAAACCGCTGGACATACAAAACAGGTGCAGTGTCCCTTTAAGCTAACAGTGCTCTGACAACAGATGGTAACAAAGCATCCCTCTGAACAATCACAAATTATGAAAGAGCGAGAGGTGAGGATGGGACAGTATGCAGTTTTTGTAAAGCTGTGTTTAATGAAGCACCAGTAGTGGACACTGGGCAATGTTAAGCCTGTGTTACCTGGCCACATCGTCCTGGGGGAGCATGCTGTAGATCGTCATCATGTCTAGAGCATCAGCGTGCTCCCAGCCTGTCTTCAGAAACCGCTCCTTCTGCAGACACCACACACTGACAATATAATGTCTGGATATAACTGTTGTTAGCTCAAAATTCAACTGAAGCAAATGAGACGAGTGATTAGAGGCAGCACTGTGAGTGAGTGAGAGGAGGCGGGGCTTTGGATGCCGCAGCAGTGTGTGTGTGTGTACACTAGTTGTCAGAGAGAAGAAAAGAGTGAGAAAGCACAGCTGGTATCGGTGTACCAATACTACGGAAAATGAGTATAGGAACCTTTCCAAATTTCAGAATCGAAATGTACTGGAAGAAAAAAAATCATTACTTTTGACAACACTAGGCTACACGGGATGTTACCTGAGAGTCCAGAGACTGGCAGGCCTCCACTCCTGCCAGGGTGCACTGGCGTCGCTGCAGGTTCTCAATCATTATCTGGCCAAATCGATCAGCCATGTTTACCTGTGCACACACAGTGTACCGGATGATTTTCTTGAGAACGGCTACTTTACGACTCAGTTACTATTACTTCTGTTTATTCAAACACTGAGTGCAAACTGCAATAATCAAATGACAAATTTCACATTAAAAGCAATGAAGCCACTTTAAACTAACTGCATATAAGATAAAAACCATAAAACTTGTAAAGATGCATAAATTGTAACTTAACACTATTTGAAAAAATGAATTCCTTTTAAAGCATTTACACCTACACAAAAGCACTTTTATATATTTATTAATTTATGTAAAAATAAATGTGTTTTGTTTACCTGTTCGTAGTTGACGAACATGGCAGTGTGAAAGGTATCTGCTGCCCAGTGAACCAGGTTAGAGGACTGTGACGGGGTCATGTAGACCAGCACACACTCTGACAGGAACAACGTCGGTAATCTAGAGATCAGAACAGCACAAAGTACAACATACTGTAACCAGAGAAACTGTATCTCTACCAAAACAATGCTCTAAATGTGTTATTTTATATTTAAAAAATATCAGGCTTTTAAAAAATCTGGATCCAGATATGCATCAAAGTTAAGCACACCAGAAAAAAGTTAAACTGTTCCAGAAAAATATTCCAGTGTTGAAAATGTCTTGAATACACAAGTGGATCAGGAGAGACACCTGAGCCATTACCTTCTCACCAAATTCCACTGAGGTTTTTGACATATATTCCTAATTAACTTATAGCCAGCTTGCTAATGAAAAGGACGGGCACAGAGATAAACTGTTACACTTAGGATTTGCTTTATCTAGTTTATAGTGTTATCTTTCAGGCTATTATATTGTCAGTTACAGTGGATTCCAAAAGTGCCAAGTTTCACAGTGGAACTAATGGTCAAACTCGCCACAGACTTCTCAAAACCTGGGTAAATATGCTGTTTGTGTCACACCAAAGTCTTATCTAGAGTTACTTACAATGAGAAAACACAGAGATAAGATTCAACTCTTGGATACTGACAGTAAAGATATGCTGGGTAAACAAATGACAACTCTTAGAGGGCAGTACAGGGGACTTTTAACAAAAATTATATTGACTAAAATGGTTAACCTACACATTTTACCAAACATTTGATTATCATGACTAATATGGAATATAACATTGAAATTAAACCAGTAATTCCTATCACGTACTCTGGGTTAAGCTGGAACTTCTTCAGTTTTTGATCCAAATTCGTGATGTCTCTGAGGTCTGCACCAATGATGCAGTACCGGTCTGAGTCAAGGCTGTGGACATCTGCAACAAGCACACGTGCATTTAGAAAGAGTTACTGATATTAAATAAAAAAGTGTGTTATTTATAGCCATTCATAAGATATGCAATCAATAATAATAACTGGAAATTTTATTCAGTACCTAGCAGCAGAGAGTCTGTCGAGTGGGTTTCAATAATGGGTTTGGACAGGGATGGTTTTGTCCTGGTCAAAGAAAATAACACCAATACAATTCATAACCGACACTGCATATCAACAAGACACAACAACAGTATGCTTCTTTTAAAATAGTGTTCTGTCTCCCTCTACAGATCTTAACCTCACATTACAATACCAAAAAAATAGAACAAATAATAAATAAAAATGAATTACACTTAAGATGTTTAGTGTAATTCCTTATAATAACTGCCACATTAATATTATAACAAATCAATATTTATGCATTAACATTCTGCATAATCTATAACCATCATGATCAGTCTCTCTAATCTGTAATGGAAGCTTGTGGCTGGCTGGTTTATGTATGGTGCACAGCACGGAAGATAAATTATATTAACAGTAGTGATAATAAATATAATAATAGCATGGGCGTTTTACTTAATATGATGTATTTTTCTGGCCACGACTGTTGGAAAATCAACTTCAAAGAACTTCCTTGGCATCAGATTTTCATCCTATAACAAACCAAAACACACACACATGCAGTAAAAATCAGCTATTGTCTTTGACACAGTCTAGTCAAATCAGACAAGATCAAAAGCCATATCAGAGCAATGATGGATCACATTTAGACCAGAGTAGTGTCCAGCTTGGGGTAAAACCCCACTGCAGTGTTGTATACCTTTAGTCTCCAGAATGTAGTGTCCAGTCCAGCACCAAGGTTGATTACTTGACAGTCACACTCTGCTTTCCTTACAAACGCATCAAGAAGATGGTTCACCCCTTGAACACGGGCATAGTAACCTTAGAGATGAGAAAAATGAAGAGGAAACAAGTTAATATATGTCACATTAAAAAGGCATTTCTCAAACATTTGTGAAGGGTAGCTTTGCAAAGTGGCTTTTGAAATACAAAAAAGTACAAGAATACATGTATGGAGGGAAAAAACTATAAAGCAAACACTATGACTGTCTGTGGGAGAGATTGCTGTTGAAAGTCCCTCACTTGAGAACTCAGGTGGCAATAGCTAGTTATATATTAGACAGTGGTCTTATGAATGATAACTACTTTACTGCATGGAGTACACACATTTGTTTAACACAGCAGTATATTACATATACTGTACCACATATTCCACTCACTGAGATAAAAAAAAACACACTACTGATTACAGGATACTATAAAGAGGAGACTGCATCACTTGCCTCTGTTGATTTCAGGTGTCCTCCGCTCTCCAACAGATCTGGCAAAATACTGGATATATGGGTCCTTCCAGTAACCTTTACTGGTAGCAAACCTAGAAAAATGGATAAGGTCTTTTTATATTAATAATGAATGACTGAAATAAGAATTACGGCCAACCGATACACATTTGTGCTGTTTTCTGCTCTATTTTTAGTTCTGGCGGTGCATACTGTATAGTGCAGTTCATACATTCCTCCGTCTCATAATAACTTATGAACAGCTGACTAACTAACGCTAAATGGTTCAAGTTACCTTTTGCATATGGTTGCATCGTCACACGTCGTCCTCACTGCTTCATCGGCAGTATCTGTGTCTGTGAAGTGTTTCCGAGCTGCCATTAATGATTCTTGACCTTACGTTATGTAGTTTACATTAAAACTGTAACATTACATTATCTCGTCCTGCTTTTACGCTGGCTAGCGAGCTATAGCAAGCTACCTGTCTATCTGCTAAGGTAACAGTTTGGCTTCTTTAACAAAACGGAGAAAAAATTACAATAGACCTGTGAGCTTAGGCGAATTGCTCAAGTACGCATGTACCATAAACAAACAACGAGCTAGACGAAAATAAGTAGCACATAGTAATTAACTAAGCTTATTATTTTGCTAGCGAATTACATGTTGCTCTGAACTTGAAACGCAGGGACCGGAAGCAAACTAAAATACATCCGGTTAGTATTTTTCAGATTAAAAGTATCATTGCAAAAGCGCTTATTTTGCACACGCATAAAACAAAGTAGTGGGGATTGAGGAGTTGCTGGAGCAGTGTTTTATGTGATAAAAACCTCTTGTCTAAATGTTAAGATTAATTCACAGAGGTCCACTTTGGAAATGGGACTGTTTAGCCTTGCTGCTTTTAAAACTATAATAAACACATACTGAATATGCTATTAAACCTGCCAAAGAACACAGCAGCAAGTAGCTTAAGTCTTACATACAGACTTGCTAAAATTCAGTTTAGTTTCAGAGTAGCCTTTACATTTAATTTTTTTCAGTTATTTACCCCTCTGGCAGTCCTTGGTAATCAATGACAGAATATTGAAAATCAAGTTTAAAGTGATTTTCTGCTGTACAATTATAAATCAACTAAACAAAGAAGCAAATGTGTCACTTCTCTTTTCTGATTTCTCTGAAAAGTGAAGACAGCAAGGATCACAAAAGTGAAACAGAGTACACAGTCTGTCATTACAGAGTTTTAAAAAGAGAACATTCAAGAGGTGTCCAAGGAAGAAGCTTTTGTATGAAAGATCTCAAATATGTTGGAAATTTGGACATTCACAAGAAAGTCCACATTAGGTATGCTGATATTTCTGTGATATACATGGCAGGTATTTCTATCAGCTGAAGGGTCTCCAACAGTATCTAAAAGCTCACATTATTTATTGATCCAAATAACTGGGAAGTTGACAGGTAGCTTAAAAGTCTATAGCTTCAGTCTTGCAGAAGTGTAATGCGTTTTGCTCCATTTACTACATAGTATTAAGGGTCAGTCTGAAGAGTTATCTACTCAGAGCAAAAAAAGGATGTGGCCTAAATTCCTAAACATGGTGTCGTGCTAATGCTTAACTCCTGTAAGATGTTTCCCTACTGTCATTGCATTCAGTAGCCTGCTACTCATACATATTAAATAGACTAGAAATATTATGAAGACTTGTGGTAAAGTGTTTCCCATTAGTAAACCATCCACTACATGTGAGGGGGTTTCTCCTGCCGGTGTCCAGAGGGAGGTGGTGGTGTGTGGCAGATGCCGCGGTGCACTAACGTTACTTCCTGCGCTCTCCTCTTCTTCTCCTGTGCGCTAGCAGTGACAGAGGTGAGCTGCCTGCTGCCGCTCGCTCTGTTCTGGGGAAAAGCGGCCGACGGATCATCCAGCTCCGTAACGTTAACTCGTCGGCTAACGGTCGATGCAGCAACCGTGAAGAGCCATGAAAAGCTGCCGGAGAGCGTGAAAGTTAGTCAACGCTTGCTCGGGGACTTTAATGTACGAAGATATATATAAAAAAAAGGGAGGTTCGACGATCATGCCGTCGCCCCAGACGGGACCTTTCCTGTAGGATTTCCACTGGGCTAGTTTAAGGGCTAGCGAGGCTACAAACTATTGTAATTGGCTCTGGACTCAATGGCTCTCGCTTGTTTCCCCCTGTCATAGCAACACCTTGGAAAATTAAGACGGGGAGAGGCCCTGTGAACTTGATGACCAACCGAAGCCCGGCTCTGAAGCGTTACTTGGGAGCACTAGGCAGGCGAAGGAGCCACAATGAAGAAGCAGTTCAATCGGATGAAACAGCTCGCCCACCAAACAGTTGGCAGGCGAGTACTGAAGTCTACTGGCTAGTCTCACTAGCAAACACTCTTACTCCTTCTGCTTTTCGATATAATGTAGCTTGTAGCCACACTTTTACTTAACTTTGCCACTTTTGACTATGAAATGTGTTTAAAATAAGTTATAATTGTGTTGACACTGTGTGTACCAGGTGTGTTGGTAGTTTTTTATGAATGAACCCTTTGCTGTTAATGGCTGGCAAGGTTTAAGGACATGGCACTTAATTAAAACTATATAGGTGGTGTTAAATGCTATCCTTGATGCGTGTGTAAACCCAGCCAGATGTCCTGCTTTAGGCACTTGAATCAGCCATTTTAGCACTATAGCATACCATGGGAAACATACTTGGCCAGCTGTTCTTTTTCAGCTGGGTCTGTCACTTTCTTACATTTAGAGGTATTATGTATTATTCTACTGTTAGAAACTCCCTGCTGGGCAAAATAGCATATGCATGTTGTGGATTTTGGAAAGCATAAACAAACCTAGGGGTGCATTCATAAATGTTTTAAGCAAATACAGATAATTGGCAGTTATCCACTGCAATCAAAACAAGTATGCACTTTTGCAAGAGTATTTGTATAAATGCAAAAGAAAAAGCATTATCCCCAACAAGTGCTGAGCCATGCAAACTAGTGCCATTATGCTGCTGCATGTACAGTTACACGCTGTGGCTGTGTAAGTGGATATCTAAAGTAATGAAAGCTGTAGCTGGGCATGTGTCAAATAATGCTTTAATCATTGGATGCTGGTTCTCATCATCTGTGGCATTTTCTGTGTGAATTTAGTGGTTGTTAGTGTGTGCATGTGAGAGTCAACGGTGTTTGGCATCTCAGGCGAGCAGTGGGTGCACCCAGGGGCTGGTGCCAGATGAAGCCTAGGTCAGACTGGAAAACAAGTATGTCATCTTCAAACAGGCGAAGGCAGTGTTTTAGGTTCTGCATCTTATAAAACTCAGGGAACAACTGATTATTTTGTGAAAATCACCCATCACACTTTGTCAGTGCTAAAAATGACATATTCAGATGTTTTCTTTGACCAATAGTCCAAGTTTAAAGATATTTATTTATTTTAGCATAAAAGCCAAAGAAAAGCTGCAGCTACTTACACTGAGAAGCTAGACTGATTTGCTTAAATTATCATATTAATTTTATCAATAGATTATTCATCTGTTCATTGATAATCTGTTGGTTGACTATTTGATTGGCTCACAAATTGTTTGAGATTTAAAAGAGGCAAGATTTTAATAGAAGTTGCCAGAAGAACGTAAGGCCAGTAGTTGTCCTGTTAGATTTTTTTTTTTTAGTGGTCACTGATTGATTCTTCATATCAGTCAATACAGATATGGACCAACAGGCCAGCACCACACACATTAGACTAGTTGAGTTAAAGTAATTTAGATTTTAAAACTTTTATTAATTAGTTACTGTTCTAATGTACTGTCATATGTAAATCTTTCCCTTTCTTGCTATTTATATTGTTCTACAGGGAACAGGCAATAGCAATTAGAATTGACCTGTGATTTCCAAAATCTAGTAGGTCATACTTGAGTCCCGGAGATGCAGGGAAGAATTTCCCTCAAGGTGTTCCTGACATGTCGCATTCACAAGAATCCTACAGACAGACAACCCAAAAACATAATGCCTCTGTGCCGACGATAGCCACAGATGGAGGCATAAAAATGAAAAATATCTCTGTTTAGTCATTAAAATGTAATGTTTTGGCCATTGTCCTTCTACAGAGGGATAAACCTTTTTAAGAAATCACTTACTTTTAAGGCAAATGTTTCACCATTGATCAGACAAACAGGAGACCTGCTAATAGAATGGCAGAAATAGGGTGTTTTGCACAGTAACTGCACCATCTCTGCAGTGTTTATTTGATGGAACTTTGTCAGCATAGTCTACAAACAGAATGTGCCATAATAATCTTCCTACAGCCAGAACCCTTAACCAGGAGAAGGAGAGCAGCTGGAATACTCATAATTTCCTTGCTGCATTGTACCAGCAGTAAATTAAGACTCTAGAGAGTGTAATGCAGAAAACAGACATTTGTGTGTGTGTGTGTGTGTGTCAGTACAGTAGTTGCTTGCTCATTTATGTGCACATGTAGCCTGCGCTCATGTACATGCCCTTCTGAGTGAGTGATCTGTCAGTGGTTGGATTAGGGCAAGCAAGAACAGTCTGCTTTGTCCGTTAAATTTGTGCCCGCTTGTGCGTCTGCATCTGCACAAAGTTTGTAGTGTAACACTCCACTCTGCTGCCCTGGGTTCCTGTGATTGTGTGAAGACGGAACACTGTGTTCAGCAAGCAGCCGCTCAGAGGAAATCTCTCCTTCTTCTACAAACAGGAAGCTGCCTCCCAGAGACATACCAGTGATTTCTAGAGAAAAGGAGGGAAAGGGAACTGGGAAAACTGATGCATGGGGAGAGAGTAAAACTGAGATGCAGGGAAAACATTCATGCAAGGGAACATGGTGACAAGTTTCACTTCTTTATGGAAGGTTTTTAAATTTGCTGTCTTTGAGCTCTCTGTTCCTAGTCATGTATCTCTGGTGCAGATTAATGTGGCAACATAACATATTTAAACAGGTAACACCTGACTGCAGTGTCCTGTACTGTAACCACTATCAACACAAAGATAAGCTAACAATCATCCATAGATCCGGGATAAGGTCAGAATTTTGCACTGTACACTTGATGTTTAAAGGTGCATCAACTAAGATTTTACACATTTGTCTGAAGTGAAAATGGGACCTCTCATCAGCCAGCAGTGGCTACCAGATTGAAGAGTTGGTGTTCCTTAGCAAAGAGAGATTGGGACAAAGAACCAAAAGCAGGGTTAACATGGTTTGACTTTTGGAGATGGAGAGTGTTAAAAGCAGACAAAGGATTCATATTTGATAGATGTGGTGTTCTTCCTTGTGGATGTGTTATTATGATATTAAGATATTATGGTAGAAATATACATCATACACACAGGGTCAAAGTTTGGAGCTGCTTGTGAGTTTTTCCTCATTACACCTTCTAATGGCTGAAAAGAAATTAGGTGGAGAGCCTTTAAGGATTTCTATTTTCTACTTCGCTTGTGATAATGACATAACCTATGACTGTCTGGAAGTCAGGCCTAGATAAGTTGAGGAATTTGATTTGGGAGTGCTCCAGTAAAGGGGTGAGGACCGAGGCTTCTAATAAGGGGCAGTTCAAAGGTAAAGAGTTCCACATTCATGGTAGCAGCCTTGATATATCACACTACAGCAGTGTAACTGCTGCACCTTTTAGAATTTTACCATTTACTCAACTCTCTCAACTGGTTGGCTGTTTTTAGATGAGTGGCTGCTAAAGCAGGGTCAACAAAATCTCAAATAGCCAGACTTCAAGTGAGAGAAGTGTCAGTGTATGGTTTCCATCAGAGCTTTTTTTCTTCATTCACTGGTATTACAAAACACTCTATTATATAATCCTTTTTGAAACCATATCCAACAACAACCCTCTCCTTACTAGCACAGTACTGAGCAATCTAATGCAGATCTGCTGTATGTGGTAGCCTTTCACTGACACAAGACAGTCAAAGTGAAAGTTTCCCACAGGGATCAACAACATGTCACTGTTGAATCAACAAGGATAGCTGACTCTGGGCAGGTCACCCTGTGTGTCACCGGACGAGGACAATGAGGCGTGCCGGCTGTGATGCCTTTGTGATAACCTTTGTGATGCCTTTGTGATAACGGCTGTGCTGTTATTTGCTTGCTGTCAAAGTAAATCCTGCTTTTGTCCAAATTAAATCAGAAATACAGAAAAAAAATTAAGTGGCTTGTCAATGAGGATTTTGTCATCATGATATCTACAGTAATCTCTTAGCAGGCATTCTGACTAAGTGTGGTAAAACTTAATTCTCTGCTGTGTTTTAATGTGAGGGACTGCGTTGATCGGGAGCTGAGGGCCTGCAGGAGGAGTGTTGTAGGCGTGTATGACACAGCCACATCATGACGAGTCATTCATGTTTCTAGCCCACAAGTTTCCATTGTGTTTTGAATAGCCATGCTGCTAACGTAGCCTACTCTACCTTAGCACAAATTTCTACCACCAGTGTGTCGGCATTGATAGATAAAAAACACTGCTAACACTGTTTGCTATATATCTTTCAGCTCATTCCAGTTTCTCAAATTTGATAATTTCTTTTTTTAAAATCATGTTTAAATAAATATATTTGGGGTCTGGACTGCTGTTGGACAAAAGGAGGAACACATTGTAAGATATCGTGGGCTTTTGAAAAGTTGTGTATATTTTTCTCTCTTTTCTGAATCTTATAGACAAATCAATTCATAATGAAAACTAGAATTACCTCTTCGCGGTTCTATGCCTTCACCAACTAGTCGTATACATGGGAATGGACAGACATGAGGTCACTGACCTTGACGTTTGACCACCAAAATCTAATCGGTTCATTATTGAGTCCAAGTGGAAATTTGTGCCATATTTGAAGAAATTACTCAGAGGTGTTCCTGACATATTGTGATCACAACAATGGGTCGTATGGATGAACGGACAACCTGAAAACATAATTCCTCAGGCCATGGCTATTGCTGGTGCAGAGTCATAATAATCAGTATTTGCAGCTATTAGCAATAACATATGCGGAAGTATTGTTTGTAATTGCAAAATTGAGATATAATTATCTGACAGTAAGGAGGCATCCTGCTTAGTCATGATGTACAGATCTAGCCTTGATCTGACTTTTTTTTACCACACTTGGGATGAAAACATCCCCCAGTATGGTGGTAGTCTAGACCTCAACATTGGCAGGTCTGCATTTAGGGAGGTTGTATTGGCTAAGTTGCTTATTATTCTTCTGGCTCCCTTCATCTGGGTCCAGTATCCATTACCTTATCCCTTAAGCTGCCAACTGTTGCAGCCATAAGAGGCAGAGCCTCCCTTTTCCTCTGCCTGCTGATTGTAATGAGTGGCTGGTTAACAGCTGCTCTGTTGTGCTTACAATTGCAGTATTCGCTTACTCTCCTTCCACTTCGATAGTACATTGCCATGGTTACCATTCTCTGAGCTACCAGCCACGCCTATGCAGCGAGGATCTCTTGTTGTTAAGAAGCCCCATGCAGTACACAGTGACACACTTTACTCCGAAGTCTGCTGCTTTGCTGAGGCACGGTGGGGTCAACGCTCTGTTTGTTCTAGTTCAGTTGATGCCAGCAAAGCAATTGTTGTTTATCCTCTGTGCAGGCCGCTTTTTTGAGACTGACACTGCTTTTCGGGACTGGTTCATGCATGTTGCTTTTATAAGAGCCCCCGGGATCAGTGTCTTCACCAGCACTCAGTTACACCCAGGTTAGGGCCATTGTTTGCAGATGTCATGTAAACACCCTCCAGGTTGTCTTGTTCGCATCACCCTCAGTAAGCAGAGCTCAGTTAACAGAGCTAGACTGATTGTCAAGCGTTTGTATTACTCTTGGCATGTATACAGTTTAGTCTGGTTTCCTTTACTGTTTTGATTAGATTGAGGTCATTAAGTGGGCCAGATGCAAAGTGGTGTGTTTGAACAGCATCATTAATGCTGCTGAGAAAAACAGTAGTTATTTTTTCCTCAGTAAAACTTTTACACACACTTCAAAATACTGAAATCCTGTTAAGTTGGTGTTGAAATTCGTCTTTTGCCGTAGTCCCATTTGCCTTTACCCTGTACTATATCACAGCTCCTCTGGACATTAGGTCCAGTAGCAAACTGTGTAAACTTAGGGGAAGTCAAGTCACTTGTGTGCATATGAACATGTTCTGGAGAATGATCTACAGGCTTGTATTTGGGAAAGTCTGCATGATTGATCCACTGAGACCACATAAAGAGTTCTTCAGCATGTAAACTACACCAGAACATGGATCCCATTCTGTGGCTGTATAATCACACTCTGTACAGTATGTGCGTGTGTGACTCGTGGTTCTTCCTGCAGCCAGCTGGCAGTGATGCCTGTAGGTTTCAGTTGGCCATTCTGCCATGCTCGGCTCTGGCAGAGAAGGTCTTTCCAATTCATCTCCAGCTGCATGATTATTCTGGTTTGGCACATTTAAGAGTCTAGGAGCTTTTACCCCCCCCCCCCCCCCCAACAAAAATTTCAGTTTCTTTCCTTATCCCCAAACTACCGCCCTGTCAGTCTCTCTGCTTCCCCTGGCCTCTGTGTTGTATTTGAAAGCAGCTGGGACAAGGTTACTATAGTTCATAGAGAACAGTTTTTGGAGGAGGGCCAGGCTTCATTTAGAGCTTCAGTTACTCAAATTGCAATTGAGCCATTGTTTACCAGTTACTGCAGTGTGTAGGCCGAACCTGCATTTGGAAAAGTGTGCGCACTGGTGAGATACAACACAACCAGTTTTACCTGCACAGGTTTAATTGTGTGTGAAATTTTGACCGCAGAGTCAATATAGAGTCATGAGCATGTGAAATATGTGGGAGAAATGGAACAGGGGCAGAAAGCGGCAGTGCAAAGTTACAGCCATAGAAGTGTTGTTTTTATGAGTACTAAATTATGTTAAAGAGCTTTATGATGTAGCTCACCTCACTGCCATCTAACCTAGGCTGCAGCTCATTGATTATTTTTATCATCACTTGACCTGCAGAGTTTTTATTTTTGAATTAATTGTTTAGTCAATAAAATGTCAGAAAAATATTCTGCATTAAATACACAAACACTATTTATGGGCTAAATATTTATGGTCATCACGCCTTTGCATTGTTTGATGTTATGCATGTCTAGCACAAGCAGTCAAACTGGGATTCTGATTCACCATCCTAAGTCGTTGTTTTGCTTTGTAAATAGCTACGGATGAAACACACCTTGCAAGCAGACTGGGTGTTGCACAGACATGACTGATCCACAGTAAATGTGCTTTGTTAGCCAGTGTCGATAAGAGTTCAGCGTTTCCTTCATTGGTTACTTCATTAAGCCACCACTGACCATAGACTCTAGGTCTCCAGCAATCCTCATCCTCCCGTTACCTTACATAAAAATGATCCCAGTGAGCCCCACACAGTGTGGTGTACAGACTTTACATTTGTCTCCAGCCTGTAGTGCTGCGTTTTCCATTTAGCGTCCACAGAAGCCCACCAGCCTTTGTGAAGGTGTTGATAAGCAATAAGCACCGAGCCTGTGTTTCTCTGCCTTCCCTTTAAGTGAAGCTAATCTGTCTGACCTTGTCAAGTTCAACTATTAATAGGCTCAGGCAGAGCAGGGCTGTGTGGCTGTTCTTTGCATGACACAGCTAGCTGCTTAAGGGAATCGGTTATTATCAGAAGTACAGTTGTGATTAGTTTTTATTATTATTTTTCATTGAGCTCCTGAATTATATTATCAGCTGAAATATACAGTTCGTGACATTTGAAGAAAAAAAAAATCATGGGGAGGTCATGCAGCATGTAGCCTGAAGCGAGACTATGTTTTGCCTGGATACCAGCCTTGTTGAGTCATGACAAACTAAATAAACCCACCCTCCTTTGAAACATTCCCATAGATGCTCTGACTAATACGTGACACTTAGTGTCGAAGTGCATCAGTGTCATTAGTCAGGCATTTATTTTCATGGTGACTGTGTAGAGCAGTGAAGTATAGCTGCTTATCTGCTAACGCTGTCTGTCAGTGCTAACCTGTATACCCTCTGTTGTCTTTTCTCACCCACAGAGCGGAGAAAACAGAAGTCCTCAGTGATGACCTCTTACAGGTAATTCATTAATCTGACTGTAGGCCTCTGACTAGCTCTTCACACTGAAACGGCTGCATCTTTCACACAGTGGCTGCAGATACATGGGCCAGAGTTTGGCCCCTCTGAATCAAAGCCCCTTTACAAGCTGCAGAGGTCAGTGGAGCTGTGGATTTGTCTAAGTAGCTCTGCATGTGGAAGTTGTTGGTGCAGGGATTTCCCCAGAGAGCTACCTCCCAAGGCAGGCAGCGGGTGGTGTTGGTAAGGGGAAGAAAATTCTGGCTGCTCAGCAAAGATGTTCCAGTGATGAAGACTATCTTTGTGTGTGAATGGGAGCTGTCAAAGATGTTCAGACAAAACAAGCTGGCTTTGCATTATTCCTTTACAACAGCAACAATGTCTGACACCCTCTATTCTTTAAAATTCTCTCCCCACCCTCTATTGTAGCTGGCATGTAAACAGTCAGCACTGACACACACACACACACACACACACACACACACACACACTGAGGCCAATTATACCATTTATTCCCCAACGACACAACCAGAGAAATTAATACAAATACCATGTTACATGCATGATACAAAATAAACCTAATTTCACCAATATCAAATATAAAGCACTGGAGCTAATGTTGACTACCTTGCTTATACTTTGAGGTACTTTACATACTGCTGGGTAGCTTGTCAATTTCTTACCAAGGATCAATAAAGTCTTATGATTATACTATATTTAGTTTCTGAAAATACTCAAGTAAAGTACAGATACATCAATTCTATTTAAGTACAGGACTTGAGTAAAAAGCTATTTTCTTCCTCTGCTGACAAACATCACATTTAGACTCTGGCACCAGGGACAGCCAATCAGATTCTGGGGGTGGCCAGTGCCACCCTTGGCCACCCCTTGGCTCTGCCCATGCAGGTGGAGTTGCGCCCCATTTTAGCTCTATGCAGTTGGCTACAGAGTCATCACTGATCATTCCTTTTTGATCCCATATGCATCTCAGGTGGCCTGCATTTGTCTTATTCTTAGTGCATTCATCTCAAGGCCTTTTTTGTATGCAGCCCTCGAGGGTGCCAGAGCCTCCCAGCAGTCTGGTGCCAGCTGCCCGTTCCTTACTGCTCCTCTACATAGCACCCGTCCACAGAAATAGCACTTTGTAAGGTAGCCACCAGCTGTTTTGACCACTTCTGTCTATACCCCTAAATCAAACAAGGAATACTTTGTTAACTGTAAGTGGCTCTCTAAAACAATTCCACCCTAATACATCATGTTGTGTTATTTTTGTTCATCCTGGGCTTGTTCAAACATGTTAACATCCCTTCTCTTAGGAACCAATAAACAAACACTGGTGCAGACAGACATCTTTCTGTCTTTTTCTCGCCGTCTGTCCCACTTAGTGTTGGGATTCCCTGGTTTGTGACACGTCATGGGATCGACCAGCTGCTGACCTCATCACATAGCAGGAGTTAAAAAACACATCCTGCTGCCTTTTGGCTCCTTTTGCCTTAGGTCCTCCAGCTCTGCATATTTTATTTTTCAATTGTATAGTGGTGTTTCTCTATCCCCGTTTTTGTTACAATGAAAGGAAGTTGTCTCCAGTTCTCCAGATGCTGTGTAACCCAAACATTTCCAATACACCCACACAGGAACTTTGTCCCTCTTAGAGCACAGAGAGGGGAATCCCCGGCTTGTTTCACACCAGGTACTCACTGCGCTGAGTCTAAGCAATGCTCCCAAGTCTATAGTCGGTGAAAGCTGCGAGTATGTGTACTTGTATTTGCAACAGTGTGAGAACTGGTTTGTGTTTTATATCATGGGAATGCAGGCATTTTGGGGACATGAGGACATTTTGGTCTGCCTTCACTTTCTGACACAGAGCTGGATTTAGGTTAGGGTTGTGATGGTTAGGTGTTGGGGTAAGGGGTTAGGGAATGTAATATGTCAGTCAGTGTCTTCACAGTGTGTGTGTGTGTGTGTGTGTGTGTGTGTGTGTGTGTGTGTGTTTGGACCTTTGTAATTGAGCTGTTTTGGGAATACCAGGGGCCACCGTGGGTCGGAAATGACGTAAAAGCACAAGAACAGAGTGTGCAAGCGGAGGGAAGGACAGCGTATGGGGCGGATTTCTGCAGTGGAATTCCTGAGTTCCGACTCCATTCTGTTTGTGGAACAGTATTGTCTGGTATTTAGCTGATCCTCCCTCTGCATTCGTCTCTCTCTATTTCTCCTCATTTTGCCCTCTATATCTCAACGTTCCTGTTTATAATTGGAACATTTTGTCCCAACTTTTGAGCACGTGTTTGAGCTCCTGCTTTCTCGTCAGTTTTTTCTTTTTTAAAAAGTGGAAGGCACACCTGTTCTGTTGCATGAAAGCTGCTTTTGACTTTCCCCCAGGTGTTGCCATTGTAAACCAGTTATTTTCATCATCAGGCCCGGCTTTTAGTGAGCTTCACCAGTAACTTGTAATCATCTGGATTTTTTTCTTCATGGCTGGTGACAGTCAGCCTAATGTTGGCACTGACGGACCCTGTCAGGCACCTGGCATGACAAGGATAGTGAATAGTCATCCTGCAAAGCTTCACTTGGCCTCTGTCTCTGTGCCAGAATAGCTGTGACTCCCATCAATGATAGTATTATTTCTCAGCCTAAAAGCACAGAGTGGATCTGTGTGGTCAGGTCTTTTTAAAGGCAGCGAAGCCCTCGATCTCGGCCACAGCCCAGTGGTTGTTATGGGGACACTTCCGATGAGTCATGTGTTTCAAAGGTGACATTTCAGCGTTGCTCCGCAGGGACAAGTCTTAAAAAAAGTGCTTGAACTTAGACCCTTGTCTCCCTCAAGGCAACTGTTAATCAAATCTGTGCAAGTAACTGGACCACATCAGCTAGCAACGGTGCAGATGCACTGTTGTGCTGGCTTATGGAGACCAGTTAATGGTGTTGATGAGCAAAAGTAAATTAATTAGGCAATAAAGGCTGCTAGGCTTGTGTGTTTCCTTGTATCTATACTGGAACAATCAATGCCAGGATGTAGTCCAGTACAAGTACTGAGATTTAATTTAGGTTGGATTGTGCTGTGGTGTGATACCTTTATAATAAAAAGCCACATTTCAACAACCACAAGTTTAGGTTTGGGCAGAATTAACTAGTCATATTTTTACTTTTTATATATACATCACCTCTGCAGAGGAGGAGGTCATGTTTTTACCTGGGTTTGTTGGCTGATTGATTTGTTCACAGCATAACTCAAGAAGTAATGGATGGATGTGAACATTTTTTGGAATCCATGAGATTCTGGTGCTGATCTGGATCCAGGAATCTTTTTTTTTTTTTTTTTTGACTGCCTGTGTGATATCAAATCATGGCTATCTTTATATTTTTTGTACACATTAATGAAGTAAAAACTAAACGCCTACTTGTTTGTAGTCCAGGTGACCATAATGACTGTGACCCTGGCCACCTATTTGAAGCCACAGGTGAAATACTTTGGGGTGGTCCTTGATGGTGCCCTTAAGCTGGGCTCACAGGTAAATTCGGTAGTTAAAGCGAACTTTTTTTTCAGCTGCATTTATTCAGCGAAGGCTAAGTACTTAACCTTGAAAAGGTAATTCATGCAGTTGGTACTTCTAGGCTTGATCATTGTAATGCTCTATATGTTGGGATGTCCCGACTCTCTCTGTCTCGTCCTCAGCTGATTCAAAACGCAGTCTGAAACCTCAGTACATTCACTAAGTTACTCAAATGAAACTGGCCAGTACAACCACAGTCTGACCTGGTGGTCATTGAGCAGCCTCAATGGAGCGCTTCCTCCAGGGCTCGACAGTGGTGTCGATGAGGGAGGAGCTGATTTCTCACTTGTCCCATTCAGACTTAATCATGCCGGTCAAGTCTGGTCATCTAAACTGCAGTATAGAAAGTCTTCCATTTGTCTCTGAGGTATGACATGTATTTACAGTAGATATGTGTTAAAGATCTGCTTTTGCATGTCTTGTCTTATGCCCAGATCGAACGGCGCATGGAGCTGGTGCGTGTGGTGTCCCACAACACACACAAGAGAATGGTGTCATGTCTCCAGGGACACATCGGTGCAGATGCAGAGAAAAGACATGTAAGAGATCAAGCTTGTTAAAATAACCCATTTGTTTTAGCTCCACTTTACTTTTAAAACACAAATGAAATCAGTCAGCTGTTCCAGGATGTGTTAACTTAATTTGTGATATTGTCTCCTACACGTTTTGAGTTGTCACTGTTTTTAGTGTAAATTACTTGATCACAGTAGGCCTATGATTTCTCTTTTGTGTTTTATACCCCACACCACCCAAAAACGCACAGTCTGTACCACGCCTCTATACAGGAAATGGACAGGTAAAAGCACTGATTACTTATTCCACCTCTCTGGTCCTCAGCATCACTTGCTCCATTTCCTTTTAGATATCTGTCATCTTTTGGTGCATGATTCTCGGGTAAAAACAGGATGTTAAGCACTCTTAAACGTTCTTGTGCAAACATAAACTGTGTAACTGTAAAAATAAGCTCTAGTGTTGTCATTTGATAGATGTCTCACTTCTCTAGTTTGCATCTCACTGTAAATCTTGTTTAACATCTGTATTTTCCACTTTTGCTAGCAAAGCTCTCTTCCTTTTCCTGACTGGATTTACTGTTGACATGCTCAATGGAAAGTCCTAGATGATTTTTCCATTGCCTTCAACATCATATGCTGACGCTTCTATATAGAAATGGGTTCTTGTGGTGTTCGCACCACAGTTTACAGTAGTTTTTGCAGTAGTTTGTCTTCCTAGCAGTCGAATCACTTTGTATTTGTCTTACACACACAGAAAAAGCTTCCTCTGACAGCACTGTCCCAGGTGATGGTGGACGGTGGAAGCCAACTGGGAGAAGAGTCCTTGATAGGGTAAGTTTGTAATGATCGACACACTGTGCAGCCAGTTCCTCTCTGGCAACTGTTGCTATATAAAGCAGATGCACCCCAGAGAGTGTGAAATATGAGGCCATGTATTCAGGGCGAGCAGTCCGCCCAGGTTTGTTTTCTGTTTGATGGGAGTTTCAGGAGTTCCTCTACACAAGGATCACATCATTTTTTGTGACTGAGAGACATGCACATAAAACAGGACCAGACAGTTTGTACTTGAGGATGTAGAAAATGAATTTCTCAGATCCACACAGCGGCCATGTGTCTGCCTGGAAATAATGAGGAAGGGAAAGTAGATCATTGGGTTTGCGGTTCATATCAACTGTCAGCCCGCGACGGCCCGGGGCCCTCGGCTCCAAACACAATTTCATTGTATGTGCCACAATGTTACAGTGACAATAACAATAGCTTCTTTTTTGTATGTCAATGCTAATAGGATTCATGATTGTAGATGAGCCGTCACCTGGTCAGCAGTGTGCTCCTGGCTGCAGGCTGCTAGAAATCACGACAAGATGTTGACCTGATTCTGCTTTCAGTTACTGACTGGGAACAGAGGAAGGGCACATTATCATCATTCTGTGATGGCTTATACATAATATTTAGTCAGGAGGATGTGCAGTGACACTTACAGAGAAGATGCAAAGAGCCTCGAATTCTCACATACTGTATTAGCACTGATGTGAAAATGAGGCATAATTGTGATTATGTCTGAACACCCTTCTCTCTCTGTGTGCTGTGTGTGTTAACAGGAAGATGATGGAAATGTGTGGCGAGGCAGAGAATCGTCTGGCTTCAGAACTGATGCTACATGAGCTGCAGATAGAGAAGGATGTCCTGGATCCCCTCAGCCAGCTGGCAGAGGTCAGAAACCTCACACTCTATGGACATAACTTTAACTGGACATGTGTTAAATATTTAAAAACCCTTTCATAGCTCTTTGCTTGTTTAAAATAGCAGTCATTCTCACAGTGATAATTTTGCACCATTTGTGTAAATGTGTAAAAAAAGCTAAAGATGCATCAGCATCTGGGTCTAATTCTTGTAGGTGGACATCCCCAACATCCTGAAGCAGAGGAAACAACTGGCCAAATTAGTGCTGGACTATGATTCTGCCAGAGCGAGGTTTGTCTGTCTACAACTCACTCTATCCCCCTTTACACTGCCCATTCGATGTGGTAGTTTCCTGCCTCACCATTCTGTATAAAAGGTACATTACCGGCATGGGGGGGTTGATGTTGTCCCTCCAAAATGCTGCAACAAGATGTAGTTTTGTTTTTTGTTTTTTCAACCAAGACTAGTTCCCCCTACCTCTTGTATAAACCCAAGAATTAAAACGTTATTTTGTGGTTGTTTCGTTGTGGTTACCTTCTAAAGCACAAATAAACACGGCCACACATCTGCACAACCCTGTGGGTAGGATTTTGTGTCTGTTATGCTGTGCACCTTGTGTATTTGTGTAGCCCTGCACAGTAATTCCCGATTTGTATTCATAAGTTTAGCAAACAAAATCAGATAACAGCCCATTTGTTTTGTTTTCATAGCGTTTGTCTTTCATATAAATAGCCTCACCGTGTCTTCCAATAAGCCTTTGTCTCTTCTACCTCAGATGGTTGCAGGCAACCAAGTCAATAATCTCAGGAACAAACACTCAAGCACTGACGGCCAAGGCTGACCTACTCAAAGAAGAAGTGGATGAGGCCATGAACAAAGTGGAGCTTTGCAAGGTAACTAGCATACATGTAGATGACTCAGACATCTTTATGTGGGAACCTGTTGCTTCATTATAGTTTTTATTTTTATTGAGTTCATATCAGTGCTTCCCACTGGCTTCATAAGTCAGGATTAGATTGCAGCCATGTTGTAAAAGAACATTTCAAAGACCTGACTCCAATGTTAATAAAACTGGCTTGATGTCATCATATGTGGATGGCAAGCTTAGTGACTTTTATTCTGAATGAGTAGGTCATTCATGGCTTTATAAGTAAAATAAACTAAGAATTAAAGCTGGGAAACAATAGTCACATCAACAACGGGACATCTCTGGGCCCCTCTGCCCCAGGTTGCCGAATGACTGAAAATGCCCCGTCGGCTCTGTGTGTGTTTGTTTGCATGTGTTTAGCTGAGTCACTGGTGAGTTTTAATGTATAGTAGCTGCATGGTGTCAGGTTTTCTGTCCAGGAAGATCAGAGCTGTATGTTTCCCCTTCATAAAGTCTCTCCCAGCCTCACTGAGTCCTGCCAACAGCAGTGGGATTTATGACTCATGTAGTGCTTAGCTGGCCACTGACGTTAATCCCTGTGCCACCTGAAACATCCATTCATTTAAAGGATGACACAGTGAAACTGAGATGTAGATCCTTAATTAATTGTGATTTAGTGCAGCATTACTGTGCTTTCTTGCTACTGGTTTTTATTGTGGATTGCACATTGTGACTTGGATTAAAAGGTACTATAATAGAGTTTGTGTAAAGAGTATTTAAATCATCTTTGAGTGCTCTTCCGGTTCAGCTTCCTTTATTTCTTCTTCAGGATCAGCTCGCTGCAGACATGTACAGTTTTTCCTCAAAAGAAGGTGACTATGCCCGCTACTTCGTGATGGTGAGTGCAGTGTGTCAAAACTGTTTTTGCAAAACTGTGACTTTCTGTGGGAATGTTCACAGTTGCAGACTAAGTGGGGAACACAGACTTGGCCAGCCAGTTTATTTACTTTGCTGTCATGTACTTGCTTGTTCCGTTCCATTTACCTACACCTAGTTCTCTGTTTTTGTAGCTCCTTGAAGCGCAGGCTGATTACCACAGAAAGTCTCTCACTCTTCTGGAGAGTGTCTTGCCAACCATCCAGGCTCAGCAAGGTATAATGCATGCAAACATGCCTTTTTACACATACCCATTTAACAAGAAACAGTACAGTGTGTTTATAAAAATGACACACAAGCAGGCTCTGTGCTGCACATAATGAGGGACTTCTTTATGTATTTTCTGGAGCATGCACGTGTGCCTTTTTCCAAATGACAGCCCTTGTTTTTCTTTGGTTTCTGTGTTGATTGGCGTCCCTTTTAACCATATGATTTCCTGGTAGACACTGGAGTTTTCCCAAAGGTGTACTACTTATTTACTTTCCCCGCTGGTTTAAGAAATCCAACCAGCTACTGTAGCCTTCAGTTCCTACAATCACCCCACCTGAGGTAAATGTTGAAAGCCATAAATGGGGCCTAGATGTTAAAGAATTTGTTTATTCTCTCTATTTATTTTCCAGGTTCTTTACAAAATGCCTTCTCTCTGCTCTTTTACTAGTTGCGTCTTTCTTTGCACTCTGTACTTGAGCTTGTTTTTTCTACACTAAACACATGTGGTCTAAGCCAGACAACGCTGGTCTCCCAGCATGTGGCAGTGACTCACAAGCTCCACACCCCCCCCCCACCTCTTCTTACATCACACCCACCTGGGTTTGTAGGCTCTCCTCCCTCTTCACTCCCCTGTACAGTTATCTCACGCACACAGAAACGCAAAAAGCTGTCCGAACAGCGAGCTCGGAGCCTGTGGTTATTATTTGACAGCACCCTATGGGGGGGGTGTAACAGTATCTTGTGTTGCTGCCTCCTTTGGTTCACCATTAATCTTTTGTGTGTGTGTGTGTGTGTGTGTGTGTGTGTGTGTGTGTGTTCAGACTCGTGGACAGAGAAGCCTGCCTTTGGGACTGCGCTGGATGAACACCTGAAAAGGAGTGGAAGAGAGATCGCTCTGCCCATAGAGGCCTGTGTCATGATGCTTCTAGAGACTGGCATGAAGGAAGAGGTAAGGACTTTATAACAGAGAGGCTGGGAGACTGAGAGATGAGACAGGAGGAACACAAAGGAAGCTGCTCTGTTCTTAGTCTCCTACATGATTATTCTGCTGGATTGGCAGGAGTTACCAGGGTATGTAACATCAAACTGTAATAAGAAGTACCTTGGAAGCAGCATGACCTCTGGGCCTTGCTAGCAGTGTTATCAAGCCAAGCCATTTCAGCAATTCTCAGCAAACAAGCTCTGATAAAACCACTGTACTGTAAGTTATCACCCCAGCGCCAAACGGCAAACCATTTAACAGTCACGGTCACACTCGGTAAGCTTGAGAGTGGGCTATTTCCCTTAGGTGGTGGAGACCAAAACAGCTTAAATGAGAGTATTACAAATGAAATCAAAGTCACAACTCCATCTTGCTGTGACAAGGCAGTTGTTTGCTAATATGATATATATATACAGTAGCATGACACCTTTAAACAGTTTGTCAGGGTCGTGTGTCTGTCAGTTTATTTTTGGCCTTTTCTACCCACAAATAGCCAAAAATTGGTTAATGAAACTTTTAAGTAGTAGTGCTTAGCAACAGCCAGTTGTGATTTAGAGGCTGCTGTATGTCTTCCTCCAAGCCCAGGCCCTACACAGTATTTCAGAACATAGAATATGATTTTGTATGGTCAGCCGACTTAATTGCTGTTAGATTTCCTTGTTTCACCTTGTAAATATAAAAAGAGCTGTCACTGCTCATTAAAAGTCACATGGAGCTGTGGCTGCGATTAGCAACTCTGCTGGCCATCGACGTAACTGAAACCAAGCATTAAATAGTTTGTTTGCACACATCTCTTGAGGAGATGGGTATCCAAGCAAAATACAGACAGGGGAAACTCCTGTGTTTCTGTAATGTTCCAGTGCCACAGTGATGATTTATGAAATGTTTGTGATGTCCCCTCCTCGAGACAATTTAAAATACAGTAGAATCTACTCGTGTCCCATCCTTAAATGGGATCTTTGTGTGTGCGTATCTGTGGCCCTGTTGATTCCCTAGTGTGAAGACATTTGTGTCAGAGTAAAGAACTCACTGTGAGTGCACGGTGTGTTGGTTTGCCTTCTTTAAGTTTACATTATGTGCAGCTGCTAGGGGGCGTTTATGTAGTGGATTAATGCACTATCAGTAATTATTGTACTAATGTACAGTGTGTGTGTGTTTGACTGAAAGCACATCATCTTGTGTGCACAGTGAATGCTTGCATGTCTCTTTGTTTTCGTTTCCTGGCAATGTTACTGTGGTTTATTTGTCTGTGTGTGGTGTCAGGGTCTATTCAGGATCGCAGCAGGGGCGTCCAAGCTAAAGAAGCTAAAGGCAGCGCTGGACTGTTCCACCTCACAACTGGAGGAATTCTACTCTGACCCCCACGCGGTCGCTGGTATGTCCCAAACCAGAACCATGTTAAAATTTCTACATACGTTACTTAGATGGATTGTCTAATTAGTATTGGTTAAAAATCAAAAAACAAGGCAGCACGGTGGCGCAGTGGTTGGCGCAGTGGTTAGCGCCGTTGCCTCACAGCAAGAAGGTTCCAGGTTCGGGCCCCACCCGGGACCTTTCTGTGTGGAGTTTGCATGTTCTCCCCGTGCTTGCGTGGGTTCTCTCTGGGTACTCTGGCTTCCTTCCACAGTCCAAAGACATGCAGCTTAGGTTGATTGGTGTCTCTAAATTGCCCATAGGAGTGATTGTGCGTGCGTGTGGTTGTTCGTCTATGTGTTAGCCCTGTGATGGATTGGCAACCTGTCCAGGGTGTACCCGGCCTTCGCCCGCGACCCCGTTCAGGGACTAAGCGGTAGAAAATGAATGAATGAATAAAAATCAAAAAACAATAGGTGTGTTACTTGGGTTAAGTTTTGTGTTTTTATGTTTGTTAAATGTGCAGCTTTAATAAGAAGACCAACTCATTACGGCATGAAGCCTCTGTCAGACCCTGATGAAGGTTTCATGCCGTAATGCGCTGGTTGTCTTATTAAAGTTGCTCAAAACACTGCTGTGTTGCTGGACGTTGCTTTTCAGTTAGTTTTTTCCTTGTCTGTGCACCTTGACAGGTTGAAGTTGTGCTTTCTGTTGTAGCTGTGAAATGTGCCACCTCAAAGCTTAGCAACAGACTTCAGTTCTCATAACCCTATTTGATAATTTACTAAACAGTTTGAAATATAACAGGCGGTGTGTGTTTTCCTTCAAAAATAGCTAGAAAAATTGTAAATTTGTCAATGTGTGGTTTCAGGAGCACTGAAGTCCTACCTGAGGGAACTTCCTGAACCTCTGATGACCTACCAGCTTTATGATGAATGGATCCAGGCATCCAGGCAAGGCCTGACATCATCACTGGAAATAAAATTATCAAGTTTAAACTCATCCATTACTGCACAGAGATGAGAGCTAATAGGATATTTATATTGGACCAACCATCTGCAGACTGCCTTCAGCCACATTTTGTTTTCTATCTTTCTAGTGTGTCAGACCCAGACAAGAGGCTCCAGGCACTCTGGGTTGTGTGTGATCAGCTACCAAAGAACAACAAAACCAACCTGAGGTCAGTTATGTAAACCTGTTTGTGAAAGTTCATGACAGCAGTGTTGTGAGTTCTTCTGCTCATAAACTCCCATGTTCTCATGCAGGTATCTGGTGAAGTTTTTAGCCAAACTGGCTCAGGACAGTGAGGTAAACAAAATGACTCCTAGCAACATTGCCATCGTCCTGGGACCTAATCTACTCTGGGCCAAGACCGAGGGGTGAGAAGGGACTAAGAGGGAGGGGAAGACGCTGGTGGTGAAGTGGATTATTAGAGCTTTATTAGAGGTTCCCATATTATGTTGGAAAGCATCTGTTTTTTGCTCATCTGTATGTGTGCACCCAGGAGCCTTGCTGAGATGGCTGCAGCTACCTCTGTGCACGTGGTGGCCATCGTGGAGCCCATCATCCAGCATGCTGACTGGTTCTTTCCTGAAGGTGGGTTCTGGGTTTTCCTCTGCATCTTTTTGTTTCCAGTCAGAAACGATCTTACATCATACATTCCCAAATAAAAAATAAAAAAAGGACAAATTCAGTTGGTATAGAACCTGTGGTAGTGGAAAATGACTGTTCCAATTATTATACTAAAGTCTGTGTACCGTTGTTTTATTGTTATGAGCTTAAATATGTCTTGGTGTCCAAATCATCTTGATGGACCCAAACCCTGCACGATACTCTGTGCTGGATAAGAATAATTTCATATGGCAGTTGAAAACACCTGCTTCCTCTTACCCATAAAAGCTTGTGTTTTGTTGTTTTCTGCCCTCAGTTTGGTTACAAACAAGCCACACTATGGCCTATATGGTCTAGTGGCTAATACGACTGTCCAGTCAACACAGATTATAGATTAAATCTCAGGAGTTGCCAGTGCATCCCATGATGCATGTTAACGTGCCTGCACGTTAACATGCAACTCTCAACATGCAATACTCTCTTAAAATACTATTTTAAGATTTGAATGTCATTTGTTGTGTAATTCAGCAAGTTTACAGTATTCCAGGTCCCTTCCCCTTTTCTGCTAGAGCCTGATACAAGTATCCCCTTGGCTTCAGTAACACAAGTTGAACCTAGGCACAGTGCACTGGTTTGGATTGATCCTGTAAAGCTCGCCTTCTGTGTTCCCACAGACGTGGACTTCAATGTGTCTGGTATGTTTGCGATGCCCACACCTGCATCCAACAATCACCTAGATTATGACTGTGGCACCGTTGAGAGGAAGAGGCCTGGCAGCATGGTGGGACCAGAGAACGAGACGGCGCGCAAAGACATGTAATCAACCTGCAGTTTCTGTGTGGCTCCTTGGAAACCTCTTAGTCACCACTGTTTCTCTGGCCCATAACATTGGTTACTTACTCCACTTTGCCTTTAATCCTGTTGCTTTTTTCTGGTCCCTTTCTTTAGCTTCTGGTAAATGTTTTGCTAAACTTGAGAGAATCCTTATAAAATCATTAACACAGTTTTTACTCACTTCTGTCTGTGTACTCTGGGTTTAAGATGACCTCTATCCCGATCTAATCAGTGACATTCTGATCACAGCTGTGGTGTTTTCTGTTTGTCTCCTTCACCATCTCCCTGCGTAGCAACCCTAACAAGCACTCGGACCACACCCTTCGTAGAGGCAGTAACACCTTAAGTAGAAAGCAGCACACCTCTCCTGCCTTCCAACCTCCTTTACCCCCTGTGGAGGCTCCAGGGCAGGGGCACGGGGCCGGGCAGGTCCCCCAGCCCTTGGCTGAGCCCCAGCTACAAGCTCCAACAGGGGGTTTAGGTCCTGACGCTGCCCAGCATAGTGTGGCGCAGGGTCTGGCTGCTCTTGCTGCCGCTCAGCAACTTCTAGCTCAGCACACAGAGGAGCTCAGGTAAGGGTTGCCTACCTGCATCTCTGCTGCTGGTGGGGAATGACACAGCATACACACATGCTTTAATAATTTTAGTTTTGATGCTATGGAAAGACATTGCTGCTTTCTTTGAGAACATATGAGGTCAATCTGATTGACTGAGTGGACCAGTAATGGATGATTGACTTATAAATTCCAGACACTCCTTTTATTGGTCAATTTGGGTTCAGCTTGATGTTTCTCCAGCAAAACCACAAGTTTTCCTACACCACCAGCAGTTCCAGTTGTACAGATTGTCTGAAGTCAGCCCACAGACTGAGCACAACAATGGCTTCTGTCATTCTGCTACCAGTCACTCTCAGGGCCTCTCGACTTCCCATCTCTCTGCTTTCCTCCTCAAATCGTTGGAATCAGCAGGACCTTTTGAACTGGTTCAAACTGCTCTGAAAAGCCTAGACATTGGTGGCTGTTATGCAGTGACTGAAGGGGGTCTTTGATTTAGCTGGTCAAAGGACAACATTCATGTGCAGACAGATGACAGGATTGTGTGCAGCATTCTTTCAGTTACACACACTCTGATGGGAAGATAAACTGAGGTTAGCACTTGACACTGCTGTTTAAAGTAATGCTGCATCTACAGTAACAGCTCTGACTTTCAGTAACAACCATTCAGCAGTGGATGCTGTTGTATAAGAAATGCCCAGAATTTCAGAAAGCCTTTCTCTTTATGTCTTCTCTAAAGCAATACCAGACTACGTGACTCCACACCCGCCCCGACCCCTCTGCTCCAGAGGAATGGCTCTGGAGGAGCAGGCCACGCTGCAGGACAGCTAGGAAATGGGGCCTCCGGGGCGGGAACCATGGGGCCCAGTCCACATATGATGCGCAGAGGTAAGAGTCTCCACTCTAATCTGGCAGAAATAGAGATTTCTGCTACAGTTATCAAGCAGTATCATCAGTCAGTCAAAGGCAAGTGGAATTTTTGAAGAGATGTTTTTTTTTTGCTTCATTCTGGAAAGTACCTCCAAAATAAAATAACCTAGAAAGGACCTGAAGTTGCAATTCTCCATCCTCATCAAGTCAATCACATACTGTAGCTGCCAGACTGGACTTCTCTGCTTGCTAGGCTGATGTTTAGCCTGTGCCTGGGTTTTCTCATAAAAAGCCCATAATTCTTTATGAAACTAAGAGTACTACATCTTTGTTTTGACAAAAATGAATCTTCATTAAGTTCAGACTGAAATCAAGTTTTTATAGCTTTATAGGTTAGTTTTTATTGTCTTCAGTTGTTAACTTTCATATACTTTTAACTTTGGAAACAATTGCACTGTCTTTTTATTGTTTTTAATTCAGATTTTGTATTAGTATCATAGTAGGAGTGTTGTATAAGTAGGCGGAGCAACATTTCTTGGCCTGTAAATAGCATCTGCTAACATTTACAGATGGAACGTAGCACGTCTACGGTCTGTCACTATATTTGGTTTTTGACATCATCTTCTTTCAGGTACCAAGAAGCAGGCTCCTGCCCCTCCCAAACCAACAAACCCTCCTCCCAACCAGACCTGTAGTTCAGTGAACCACACTGCCTCTTTTTCATCCCAGCCCTTCAGCCCCACCCCCAGACCCTTGTCCAGCCACTTGTCCAGCTCGCCCACCTCGCCCAGCTCACAGCCATGTGCCACGCCCAGACGCCACTCCAGTAATCAGCCCCCAATTCAGGCTCCCAGCCACCCACCTCCAGAGCCTCCGACACAGGCCAGCCCTCCAGCACAGCCCGCGTCAGTCAGCCAGCCCAGCGGTGACCAGCACAGCACAGACCCCTCACCTCCAGGCACCCCAACCCCTCCAGACACTCCTCCACCTTCCACTGCCGCCCATTAATCCTCCCCCCGGCCCCCGCCGCCATACCAATCGGACTCACTTAATCGGCCGCGGCCTGTCCCCAAACCCCGGAACCGACCCAGCGTCCCCCCGCCACCCCAACCCACCACACTGACCAATGATAGCAATGGGATCTGTGCCACTGCTTACAAGATGATGGGTGAGTGTTGCTCTCTTATACTGACCACATGGAAAATACTCTGCTTTCAGTTTGTATAATGTCGCCGCTGATGCTCATGTGCCGACTTTCTAATAGTCTTGCACTGTAATAACTTTAATAATAAATAGGGGTGTGATGAAATCTTGTGCCATGAGATCTAGGCAAAAGCTAGGGTATCAAAGGGTATGATACAGGGTATCATACCCTATTTTACCTAGGGTAAAACACTGTTTTAACCCTGATGTACAGCTGTGATACTGTGCATTACAGTCCTGGATGGCTGTTAAGTAAGAGACCCACGCCTGATATGTAATGCTCACAGTGTAGGAGACAAAAGGATGAGTGTAAACGTGCTGGAGCGAAGGTGAATGTGAGAACAGTGATGCTGACACATACACTGGTAGCTGTGAGTGCATGTTTGATCTCATTTTCTTTTCCCCCTTAATCTGTCAGCAAATCTGTACACCGCCTGATAAGAGTAGAATGAAGTTAGCCTCTTCACTGTAACCCATTTTTTTTGTGCTCTACATATTTCATTCATGGATGTTAAATGCCAGCTCTTCCCTCCTCTGGGTTTGTATTTCCAGCAGTCATCCAGTACAGACCTTCATGAGTGTTAAATGCCAGAAACGGGGGCTTCAGTTGAGTGACATTAAACATGGCCACCATACAGTATGTACAGTAATATGCTGGCCTAGCATCAGGGCTGTCATTTATCACCAGCCACTCATCTTCGTTTCCAGTTACTGAAATGTCTTAGCCGTAACACTGGGAGGGTTTGAAACTGGTGCATTCTTACCAAGGCTTAATGCAGGCTTCCAGTGCAGAAGTGAATTGAAACAATGGTCATTTGGTTTGTTCTGGTCTTGAAAAAAAGAGACTTTTTTTATTGTTTCTCACTGGCGGTGTTATTGTTGTCTGAGTTTTAACACCTTTTATCAAGCATGTGTAACTGTGATGTGCATGTTTATCACTTGTCAAAAAAAGATTGCATTTATTTATATTGAGATTTTATCCCTTGCATGTCCGCAGCAAGTTTTAGTTCCTTTATAAAGCACTTTATTCAGGTCAATACATAACAAAAGTTGGGAGAAGTGTGAAGTGGGGAGTTCCTGCTCAGTTTTCTCCACAGTTCCAGTCACACAGCAAATTAACCCACAGCTCCTTCACTAGACTTCACATTACCCACGGTCTGTGAGTAAACAGCGCCACCTGCTGTTCACACCACCACCCTTTCACAGCTGCTTCTCCCCGCTGGGCCTCTGTTGCTGCTGCTGCTGCTGCTATGGAAAATATTACACAGTCTGACTGGTTGGCATGATTGCAGCAGCTCTAAATGTTTTCATATTGCAGGAAGAAGCTGCACGTGTTTGTGATTTTTCTTGTGATGGTTCCCATAATGTGGGCATGAGTGGTCTCTTTATCTTTTGTTTATGTAGTGTACTGTGTGAATGCCTGCATACAGGGATATTACCTAAAACAAGTCCCAGAAAGGATCTTTTCTAGTTGATTTGATCAAATTAATTTGTCTGTTTTAAAGATTCCTCTTCTCATTCTCTTCTCTGTGTGACCTGGCTGTCCTCCATCTTGTGTCTTGCTCTCCAGACCCGGCGGTGTCTTTGAAAGGGCCAAGTCGAGCTCTGGTCCCTGAGCTCGCTGTAGACCATCAGCCAGTGATGGTCCTTCCTTCCTCCTGCTCCCTGCCTCCTCCCAAAGGCTGTGACCTGGACAGTGAGAGCACTGTCCTATAACGAGGAAACATGCTGTGGTCTAATGCCCTCTCACACCTCATTTGGTCTCCTCCTGCATATGCCTTGTTTAGAAAGACAGACCTCTACTGTTATCTCCTCCCTGTCCAGCCTGAATGAGGGACTCTTCATGTGACATAATGCACCTTCTGGCAGCCATGATGGAGATCACAGAGCTTTTGGTCAACAATGGCTGCGATAGTTCATTGTGTATTTTATGGCTGTTGCCACAGAATCTACTGACTGAGGTTAATGTGTCTTCATGCTGCTTATTTCCCCAGTGATCCAGCTGATGATTTATGTGTTTAATTCTCAGCTTTTGACCAGGAAAACCAATGTGTCTGATCAGCTATACTTTGCCTTGTTGATGCAGACACATCGGATTTGCATCCTGGCTAACGTATGTGGCACTGACAAGTAATTCTAGCAGCTAAATCACACATTAACATCACTTAAGTCAGTTGGACTCCAAAGTCAAAAACCCAGACCTGGCTTATGTCATATCTAGAGCTGAAAGGCAATTAATTAAAAGATAATTATCTAATCATTTTATTAAACAAAAATGCTGAAAATTTGCTGGTTGCTTCTTCTGAAATGTGAACATTTACTTCACTTTCACATACAGTGTAAATGAACTGACTTCCACTCACGATGTTTTCAGCCTTTCTGTTAATGCAGTTATTGGCTGGTATTTACTTCCTCAGTCCTCTTGACCTTCATGATGGCGCCAGATGCAGTTGTGACACTTAGCCTTTACACTGCAACAAACACACACACCGCCGCTGCCTCGATCTTTTTGCTGCACGCCCTGTAGAACAAGCTCCAGACAATCAGCAGCAAACAGTAACACCATCAGACAGCTGGGTTAACACAGATCGAGGCAAGAGTGGGGACATAAGGAAGAAAGGGGGTCGTAAAGGCCCAAACATGGACCGATGAGGTTCACTGGGAAGTTGGTGTGAGGTGCTTTGTATTTCTTAATGTTGAAAAATGGCCTTAAAATAAGTTTAAAAAAAAAAAAGAAGCATTTCTGCAGCACGGGGGAGAAGAAATGAACTAGAAACCAAAACTGTTGCTTAGAGTGTAGCTGTTGACTGCAGGTATCCAGTCCTCTCAAACACTTGATTTCCTTCCTCCTGACTTTTGTATTTATTGACTGATTTAGAAACACATTCCCTGTGGCCTGACATAATTAATGCAGTCTTTAAATGTAAATCATGCCTTATCGGTTCCTCCCAGAACCATATAATAAGCAGTATACTGTGTATTTACTGTACAGAGGGTAGACTTGGCTCCTAGTCCTGCAGTATTTCTGAAAAGCTGTCTTGGCAGTAGTCGTTTCAGGGATGTAAGCAAGGTGATTTGACCCTCTGCAATAGAAGTTGTGCATGGTTCTGTATTGTTCTACAACATATTAATTGTGTTTTGGTTGATGTCTTTGGGGTTTCTAAGCAGAAGTAGCAGGGTTAACCACCCTCCCAGCCTGTATGCACGCAGTGTTTTTGCCTTTCTGTTATTTCCATCTATCTCCGCGTTGTTTCTGGTGTTTGCCAGGGCCTTACGCAGGCTGTGTGTCAGTGAATGTAGCAAAAGGACTGTTTTCACCAGCCTCTGTATCCTGAACAGAAAGACGCATGAACAGCTGATGTTGCCATGAGCGTTGGCCAGTGAGTGGTTTTCCTACTTTTAAGGGTTTTTTTTTTTTTTTTTTTTTTTTTTATATCTTTCCCACTGAGCTGAGATCACACAGCGCTGTGAAACCTCAGTAGTGATGTGGTGTTAGATCTTGCCAGGTCAAAAGATTTAAGAATGGCTTTGTTGCTTTCTGTAAGCTTTGCTTTTTTGGCCTCCAGTATAATGCAGAGTTTGGTTCCCTGACCCAATATGGTACCGATAGAGAAGGTTTTGGGTGCTGCAGCTGTCCTGAAACTGTGTAGTTTTGTTTTCCAGAGACAATCAAGTGTTATAATCCCCTTTGTCTCTGCTCCTGTACCTCACTGCCTTCTCTCTGTGCATTAAGAGAGCCTGCTATCTCAAGGCTCTTTAAAATGAACAAAGGCCATTAAACTATAAATGATAATGCTGCATTTTTGAGCTCCATAGTTTTGTATGTATGCTGAGCTTAAATATGGAATATAAACATGTAATATTGATGCTTGATTATATCCCCTTTCCAAAGAAAATAAAGTATATGAAGAACCTGTTTAAATCTACTCATGGTTCATTGACTCATGCCTGACTGTTGGAGGATTTCTATATAACATTCATGACTACTATATACAGCAGAACAGAATGGCAGTTTTTACTTTCAAGCATGATATTTTTATCAATCAAAAACAACCATGTGAAAGCACTGAACCAATCAAAGGGAAAACGATCACAAAACATGACCAACTTTTTGTGAAAACATACCTTTTAAAAAGGGAATTTGTAACCAGCCAATAAATAAACTTAACTAGTCTAACAGGTTTATTTCATTTCAAACCTAAATATCCAGGGAGGGTAAATGCTACCAGCTGCACATCTTAATACAGGAACCGCACCAACATGCAACCGACTGGGACAAGAAGCACTGTTACTACACTAGTAGCAGTTTTACGAGATCACGGTCACCTCGTAAGCGTGACTAAAGCTGTGCAAAAAGAAGAAATAAAACAGCAATCTTCTGATGAAACTCGAACAAGAAAATAAAGCAGGACTTAAAGGACACACGGGTGCATGTTACATAATGAAAATGTTGAGCAGTGCATAGCAGAATCAGTCATTTTACAATCTCAACCATAGTTCATTAACATAAATACAACACGGCTACAGCTACACTGTACTGTAGATGAGACAGGAGATCACCATGACGACTGGAGAAGCAGGAAATAACCATTTACAGTAGGATGTTTTTTTTCCTCCCACAAGTGTTTGACGTGTCCATTCATTCATTCAGCAGCCGCCCACTGGATTAAGTAGGGCTGCGTTTACATCACTCGAGAAATACTCGACAAAGTGCAGCGCTATTAGTATTTTCCTCTTTGCCCGAAGCACAACTCTCAGCCTTCATATTAAAGCTGGCTTTTATCTGTCTGTACTGTCAAAAACAATACACTAGCTGTTGAATAAGATTTACTATTCCACCCACACGTTTTCTAGAAACAGATGATTTATGAGCTCAATTTCACAGTGTGCTGATTTAGCCAGTGTCACCACACTGTAAAAGGTGTAATACTGCAAACTGGCTTGACTGGGTGGATTTCAGCTCAGGACTGTACACCAGAGTATTTAGGACCACACTGGCGAAAATTAAAATCTGTGAGTCGTAATTTTATTAGATATATAGCAACTGTCGCCTCGCCTGTTCAGGCTGCAGGACACGTCTGTCTGCGTTGAAATGAGGAATGTGGAGCATCTCGTTAAGTTATAGGCCTACTTTCAGATAGGTTTCACAAATAAGGAAATACTTCATCTTCTGGCTCACCAGCACCAGATCATCATAAGCATCAGGACTTAAAAGAACACGCAAGAAACTGTCTGTTCCAAAGAAAGAATCACACAGTCACAACAGGAAATTTAAGCTGGAGTACAAATCAATATTTTCTATGGGTTTTTTCCACCTCAGACCAGTTAGAAGACCAGTAGTGAAAAAGGTTTCACAAATTAGAAAGTGTGCTTGAAAGACCCTTTAAACAGTCCTTAAAAAAGGGTTCACTGAGTGTCAGGGGTCTTTCCAGAATGTCTTACACCCTTCATAACAGTAACAAATGGAAAAAAATGGAGAAAATATCTATTTGTATTCTAACTTAAGTTTCCCTTAACTGGTGAATCAGAGGCCAACTTCAGCGCTGTGTCTGTACAGTTCTTTCTTTTGCACATTCTTTTAAGTCTTGAGCACCAGATGAAGTATTTCCTCATCTGTGAAACCTATTTTAACCTTGTAATATCATATTTCTCATGTAAAATTGACTTTACTCTTGTAAAATTACAAGTTTCTTTTCAAAATCACAGATTTTAATATCCTTCAGTGTGGCCCTAATACTCAGTCATAGGGCTGAGTCATATTGGGACATGTTTGAGTATTAGTCAAGGAGCTGAAGCTAAAGTTAACTAGCAGCTAGAAAGCTATTGTTATTTTTGCCCTAGACATGTCTCATTGTCATCTTAAATAATGACGAAAATGATAGAGGCCAGTAAGGAAGGTAAAAAATTTCATTTTTATAAGCAACTTAATACATACCGGTGTCTATGAATTTTAATCAACTGAATTTTACTTTTTGAAATAGTTATGAAATTTCAGAATTTTTTTTTTTTTATCCCCCAAGGGCCACAAATTCAGGCAGAAAATGTATTTGTACAGGGTTTATGATCACTCATCTTTATTTTTATTTCTTAGATGGATGACATGGCTTACAGCACAACTCTAAATAAATTTTTTTTCCCCATACAAATTTCACCCAAAAAAAATCGGAGCCACTGGACTGTTCTGACGTGCCTTTTTTAGAACCAGTTAAATATGAATTTTAATAATGTTTGCATAACTTATAAATCCCTGAAAACAAGCAAAGAAAAAACTTTTTTTGAAGGCGCACAACTGAAAATTTGCAGCTATAAAGTTTAGTAAAGAGGAATGGTAATATTCCGATTCTATAAATGTTTAAATTTAAACACCAAGAATCAAATAGTAGTTAAATTTCAGAATCGGGTATTAAGTTGCTTATAAAAATTATTTTGGCCTGGGTTTGCCTCCATAGAACGAGTGACTGATCCTCCTCAGGAAATCAAAAAAATAATATGCAGCATTCTGCAAAGGACAAAGGTGAACCAGAGCTGAACGTGGATGATGTTGACTTTAGCTGAGGAGAAATGTTAAATTCTTATAAAAGATGCCCTTTAAAATCTTCATAACTGACACAGGAATAACCGCATCAGCTGTGTTGGTACAGGATGATGTAAAAATTCCAGTACCTATTATCGTTCAGTCCAGTCCTGCTCTTTTGGAGGCAGTGTGCACGCCGCTGTGTGCACTGTCTGATCAAACATTCCATAAACTCTAAACTACACATGTGAATCGCCTTGTGACTCCAGATAACTGCTGCCAGTCTACACCTAGGCTTAATCTTTACAATTTTTAAATATGTTCTGATAGAAAATATAAACTTTTTATAGTCATAACAAACATAGCAAGTACTCTGTAAATATTCAGACCAGTTGTTTTCATTGCTTACATCTCTCTTTAATGCAGCATCAAGATAAAATGGAGCAACTGAGTGTATCTTTAATTATTTAATGTGGAGTGTGTATTAAAAAGAGATGCAAATAATGTACAGACTGGTTGGCGTCTTCAGTGTATGGTGAGTTCCTGTTGGCCTGTGAACACCTGAATGGTCCTGCTCTACCTGAAATAGCAGCACTGCTGCACACAGGGCACCCTTTATCATTACCTACAGATATACTTCCATTTTGTTGTCCTCCTGTTTGCGATAGATGACACAGTCTCTGTTGCTGTTAGTCTGGGTGTCTCTGTGTGTGATCTTGGCACTTTGGTAGTGGAGAGCAGATTGAAAATGGAGCTGACCGCTTTTCTTGCTTCTACCAGGCCAGAGGGGAAGACAGCCTAGGGCTTCTGGGGTTTTCTGGAGTCTGGGTCCCAGTTAGGGCTCTCTGCAAAACCAAACCAATAATTCCATCTGGTTTATGCTCATTTTACCATATTATTTTCAGATTTAGAGCACATTCTCTTAGCCCTCAGACAGCCGCACTTTGCTGCATAATCACTTTCTAGCTGCAGACTAGTGTGTGTGTGTGTGCATGTGAGAACACTAGCTGAATACATAGTCATTTTGGAGAACTCTGTCAAACTGATGTACAAATCAAATTCTGAGCTGCTCACTTTTAGGAGCAAGTCAAATGTAGCCATAGCTTGTTTTATCGATACAGATAAACAGAAGAATACAGTAACTCACCTCAAATTTGGACACGAACTCTGCGAAGATGCCGAAGAAGGCCTCCGTGCTCGTGGACTTGCTGTCCTCTCCAAAGTAGGAGGCCACCTTGGAGAACTCCTCCATTGCTCGAGTCTGCAGGGACTCCAGAGACTGGATGGCAGGGTGGCTGTTCTCCAGAAAACTCTGTGGGTGCACATGAAAGGGGCCTCAGTTTACACACCTAAGTCAGTTTACATGTCCTGGGGAATAAAAATCAGCCTGCGTGAACAAATTTATACCACTCATATCTGTCCATTAAATGGGAAGCTGGAGCTAGGAAAGGTTCAGCTTAGCTTAGCATAAAGACTAGCCATATCTTGTTTGAGTTCAACTCAACAAATCATGGGCGGTTATGTGCCAGACTGTTCCTGTGTTTGTATGAATTAAACAAACAAAATGTACTGTTCACTAGTTAGTCTTAGGCAGATTTTTATCTTCCCACAGAGCCAGACTAGCTAAGCTAAGCTCCAGCGTCATGTTTACTCCATAGACATGAGAGCGGTATCAGACCTCTCATCTAACCCTCAGCATTACAATACTCTATTACATTTTAAACTTTTACTTTTCAGAACCAGATTAATACTTTGTACTTTTAAGTAACATTTTGAATGCAGGACCTTTACTTGTAGCAGTATTTTTACACAGTGGTACTGCTACTTGTACTTAAGGGATCTGAGTACTTCTTCCACCACTCCCTGTCAGAAGCCTCCATGAAAATGAACATGGCTGTTAAATTCTCTGGCCTTAATGTGTGTTGTTTATCTAAGGCTATTAGCGTACGCTCATGATGGAAGCAAAGTGGTCCTCAGAGGTGGGAGGGACCTTCAGACAGGCCGCCCTGATGTCCTGGATGGTGGTGTGAAGGTCACTCAGCTCTGCTGTGATGGCCCTCTGGTTCACTGAACAAATCATAAGAGACGAAGGTTATGTAACGCTCACACATGATGTAAAGACAATGTAATGACTCTAAAACTGACTAAATAGGCAAACCATTATCTTGGGTTATTATAAAGACATTAAATAGTAATTAGAACAAACACAGCATAAAGCTACAGCTCTGCAGCATCACCCAGCACGCTGAGCATTGTATATAAACTAGTATTTCACAGGTTGCGATGACTCTACTCTGCTTCTAAATGATTTTCAGGAAGGAAAGCAGCATCGCCATACCCTTGGCTGCCAGAGGCACTGTCGTAAGGTCTCTGTGAAAATTGAGCAGCTCGGGGAAGTGTTGGCACAGAGACTTGGCCAGAATGTGGAGAAAGGTAGATTTCCCATCTACTGTTTTGGTCGTGCTTAGCTGAAGGAAAACAGAGAGAAAATAAGAGATGATTATCCAGAGACTAAAAACCTAAATTAAAATGAACACGCTACAGTTACAGCACACAAGTCAATGCTGTACCTCTGTTAGGAAGTTGATCTTGAAACTGGTTGTCCTGTGGCTCTTGGGTTGCCCGTTGTTCAAGTAATTCCCCATTGCAAGGACAAACTGGGGGTGAGAAAAGCACTTAATCGCCACTGTTAAACATAGACTGATGGCTTCCCATTCAGTTTGGCTGCAATGAAGTATTTACCTCCAGAATTTTGGCCAGTTTCTTGCTGCTCTTCAGCTCCACCGACGCCTTGTAGATGTAATCGTAAGCGACCTTCATCTCCTCCGTCCTCTCCTGCAGGGTCGTCTTGAAAAGGAGGCCCCGCAGACGGGTCTTATACTCAGGCACCATCAGCATCTGAAACACACAAAGGCACTCATTTACATTCATCACTCCATCCTGAGTTTTAAAACTTTGGATCATCTTAAGAGTTTTTTTTGTTTCACCTGGAAAATGAACTGGTCGGGCTCACTCAGTTTGGTCGGATCCTGGTCAAACTGTTCATACCGTTTGACTTCGTCTTCATTGGGGGCGTACAGCAGCAGCTGCTTGATGTGGGCGGGCTCCAGCCTGTCGGTGGTCATGTTCATCAAGACCTGACGCAGCTCGGTGGGGGAGAGCTTCAGGTGGGCGATGAGGATGGCTGTGAGGAGGAGGAAGAACCAGAGGATTATTTTCATATAACAGAATAGGATCACTGTGTTTCCAACTGCTGAAGAAACCTGTCATCCCTATGTGATGATGTGCAATTTTCCACTGTGTATTTGTCTCAGATTGATTGTAAAACCACAAATCACATTATAAATCTAATTAAAGCTAATTAACCAAAGTAAATGTAGAGAAAAAAATAACTTGGCAGCAGAACAAATCCTCAGCCCATTATCAAAAGTAATGTACTTAATAAAACACTGAAGAGGTATGGTCATGTCTAATTAAATTACTGAACAAAATTAACTTTTTCAAATACAATGAGCAAATGAGTACTATTTACACTTGCTGTATAAATGTTAAATTATAACACTTTTACACAATAAAACAAAAAGAAAGAAAATGAGCTTTCAACTTGTGTTTAAGATCAATTTGTAAAACACTTTTTATGTTACTTCCTATTTTATTTCTTTAAATTTTGTTTATAAGGTATTTATATTAGTGTACCAACACTGTTCTTCAAATGTGGCTTGACGAATCCATGCTAACGTGCTGTTACCAGGCTAAATTAATCCTTTTGATTCTCACCCAGCTAGCTGGTTCTTCTTCAGCCCAAACCTGCAGGCATGTAGTGCTCGTGAACAAAAATAATAATATGATTAATAATAATAAAATTAAAGTATTGAAGGCAGTCAGAAAGGCTGCGAGGTTCAACCCTGGCACCTCCTTGCTGTGAGGCGACAGCGTGGACCACAGCAGCACCGTTCCGCCCACTCTAAGTTTTTGTACCTCGCTGTATTTTCACACAGTGAATGAGGTGACACTACAGGGCTGTGGAACTAAAGTAAAATAATCTCTGTTACACTGCCTTATGATCCCAAAGAGCTAAACTGACTTGAGTGCAGATTTCAAAGTGTAGTATTCTGTCTCGTCCCTAATGAAGAGAAATCTGTTTCTGTAGCCTCTCGGGTGTGTGTGACTCACAGCCACGTCTTTTTGGTACTCACAGGCGTTGTAGGCTTTCTTATGAGACAGAATCTCCACCGTGTCTTTCTTTTTAAAGTTCTCAGGCAGGAAGGCTGGCTCTGGAGGAGAGACTGATCATTTAACAAGAGTGTAAGGATCGGTTCTCCAGGCACCGGGAGTCACACACACTAACATACAGTGGCTACATGAGGCAGGTTGATGGGCTAATAACACGGCTCTGTCATTTGTCACTGGGGGCCAAAATGCTAGGACTTATTCAATCAATGGGGGGGGGTCCTCTGCCAGAGCTGTGTTATTACTGAATTCTGGTGAGACAGGAAAAAAGGGAGGAGGGGTATTAAAGGTGCCTTATGGAGAATGGATCTGATGAACAGGTGAATGGAGCAGCTCCAAAGCAGAACATAACTGTGAAGGTACAAACAAAAACAGGTGATGTCAATAAATAAGAACATAGCTTCACTCTTACTTGACATCAATCCTCTGATAATATATTAATCAATTGGATTTAATAGTAAAGCTGTAAGATGTTAAGCGTGATGTAGACAAAGGTTTGATATGTTATGGATGATGATGCGGTGTGATATAGGGTGACCAGAAGTACACTAAAACTTACTGGCTCTGTGCTGGGTCCCAAAGTGCACATCGAGGTCCAAGCACTTCACCATGTCAGTGAGCTTGTCATATTCTGAGTCTTCTCCGAGCTACACACAGACAAGGACACACTCTGTACTCTCCAAAGACACAGTCAACGTTCTGTGACCTAGAGGCAGCTCTCTAAAGAATCTTTGTATACACAGACAACAGCCATGTGCAGTCGGGTTGTTACAAAACTTGAGCTTCGATGCTGCTGTGACTCAACAGTCACACAACACAGTCGATGAGTAGGGCTTTCCAAATACGGGAAGAGAAATGTAGGAGGAGTGAGAAAACTCACAGGCAAAGTGGGAACATTCGCAAGTAAGGTTATTGTTTACTGTATTTAAGGTATTTGATTTGTCAGACAGAGCCACGTATGTCCTCTACTGTTCTAAATGGTGCTCAGCGCTACTCACCTGACCCCATATGGTTCCCTCAGAGTTCTCCACCTGTTCCCAACGCAGCCTCTTCACACTCATATGGTTGGTGTCTGAGGCGTGCTGGCCTGATATGGGCAGTGGAGGTGGATCACAGGGTGGAGGCAGGGGTGGAGGCGGAGGTGGTGGTGCCTTGGTGATAAAAAAACAAAACAACTTATTTTAATTTATTCTTTTGTAGCACATTTACTTTTTTTTTTTTTTTTTTAAGAGGCATTTTGGTTGCTTTTATAATGTCCTCTATAAGAGTGACAGGAGCACGGAGTGGGCGAACTGCCAACAGATGCAGCATGTCTGTTCTGTCACATCTCAAGGTCTATTTCTGTGAAAGTACTGCATTATTTGAAAGGCAGCACCAGATCTTTGAAGTGGCAGACAGCACGTTTTCAGCTTGTCACATTTCTGCTCCTAGGAGCTCGTTGCAGTGGCACTGCTGCACTGCACCACCTCACCACCTCGTGTTTGTTGCCATTATCCAAGAACAGTATCTCTCATTTGTCACTAGTGGTGGAAGAAGCATTCAGGTCGTTTATTTAAGCGGAAGTGACCAAAAAAAATACATCCCAAGGTAAAAATACATCCCAAGTACATGTCTGTTAACAGTGAAACACACCAGATCTGATGTTGAACTCTTTGGGCCTCAAACAGTTATTTAAACAAAAACCAAGATACAAACAAAGAAAGGTTTTAAGCATGTGATGATATTTTAATAATGATGTGTATTAATACATCAAATGGAGGCATAAACAGTATTTTGAATACTACTGCCAAGCAGCTGTAAAGACAGGTTACCTGCTGTGATTGGTGTTCCTGTCGTGTGGTTTCATAAGTCTTTGTGTGACTGGGGAGGGTGGAGTGAGACACTGGAGGCTGGGAGAGCAGTGAGGAGCCCGCAGTGCCCTGACTTGAGCTCTGGGATGGGCTGTGGTCCTGGAGAGACGGTGGCAGTGGGCCCTGGTAGCTGTGTTGGTGGTGGAGCTGGTGGTGCCTCTGGAGGACGAGCTGGCTCCGTCTCAGTGTCTGAGAGGAGTGCTGGGGGGACGGCTGGCGTATAGGCTGGGGCTGGCTCAGCTGACGAGGGAGGTAGCTGCGGCGTGTTGACTTAGAAGAGAGCACCGTGGTGGAACTCAGGATGGTGTGGCTGTGTGAGAGCCGGCTGGAGGTGGTCTGGAAGCGCTGGTGAGTTTTCTCTGCCTTTTCCTTGTGTAGAGGAGAGCGGCTGGCGAGGAGGGTCCTCAGAGGGGGTGGAGGAGGAGGGATGATGGGGTGGTGAGGGTGAAAGGGCATCCGGCTGCGGGGAACATGCTCTGGGGAGAAGCGGACATGTGAAGGAGAGTCGGTGAACTGCACAGGAGGGGGTAGCAGCGCCTGGAGGGGTGGGGGAGGTGGTGGGCTCTGGGTGGGAGGCGGTGGGATCGGGTCAGACTCTGAGGAGTAAGAGGGAGAGGAAGCCTCATCGCTGCTACTGTGGTCGTCACTACTGCCGCTGCTGAGCCGCCGACGCGTGAAGCCCAGGTCCTGGTCCTCCTGGAAACTCATCTGCAGGGAGGAAAGTCACAACTTTCACCTCCACATACACTGATACACAGCTGTCTTTAAATAACTCTTCTAAAAATGCTCTTCATTTTATACACTTGCCTATCAATCTGCTATGTGATTCTAGGGTCATGGTCATTTACTTACCCTTAGCTTATGTCTAGAAATAAATCTCTCAACTAAATGTTTTAATAGTACAATACAATAGTTTGGATAGGGACAAAAAAAATGTAATTTCAGGCATTCATTCTTTTTCTTTTTATCTACTGAAGATACATAAAAACTATATATCTGACAACATGCACTTAAATACCATCAGTACTGAAACCCATCTGTTTTTGGAGCACAGGAAATGTAATGTAATAATATGATGTTTACTATAAAATACTGAAAACAATTACAAGTACAACATGCTGCTCTCCCCATTTCTGAAAACAAACACAAAACTTAGCCAACAAAGACGAAGGACAGCTATAACGTCAGCCAGCACCTTCTTCTGGACTTAATTCAGATCTAGGCAGATAAAATGAGACTCTACTGTAGAGCTGAATTGTGTTTTACTTACAGGCAGCCCTCTTCTTCTGAAACCATGACCACCTTGATATATCTGTTCATGTGACACAAGTGTTCATTGTAGCGTACAGCAGAGCCGCTCTAATGTAAACATGCAACACTACAACGCAGCTACTACATCTACATGTGATGAGCAAATACACAAACAGTATGAGTGTCTGTTAATGATGCTACATGTAACATTTTAGCATAAAACATACTACTACAGTGATTAGGAGATACTAGTATGATCACTATGAATAAACAAGCTTATTACAGTCTCTATAGTGCATCCATCTGATCTAAAGTGTTACTTTATATCACAAAAGTTAATGACAGTAACATCTTTGAAATCTATCAAAACCTGTTAGAAAGGGCCTTTAATTAGTAGCATACTGTTCATACTTCTATTCATGTTTAAGTTTTTATTGCCACAGTTGTTTCTGTTGTCTTATTGCTTTTATATGGAGTAATGTCATTTTGTTTCATTACATTTTAATGTGTCTAATTTAACTGCCTGATTCTAGTTCTCTGAGCTGTACGCCTGTTTTGACCATGTAAAGTTCTTCTTCGGCCCAAACAATATTTAGAGTTTGACAGTGAAGGTACACATACTATTACTGCCCTGAGCCTGTGAATCATTTTATTCACAGGCTCAGTTGTTTGCAACACTTCCACTAAAATGTCACAATTAAAAATGACTGATTTGTATTTAAAATGATACATGTAGCAACTTTAAAAACAGTGGCAATAATTAGTGTCCACATTATTCCTAGTCTCATGACACTGTGTGTGAGCTGCCTGCGCAGCTGCTGATGATGATGTGGGACCACAGCCTGCTACACCTTCAGCAGGTTAATGTGATCACACCTGTGTTTTCTGCTATTGAGAAATACAAGGATGACATTAAAGTGGCCTCAGTTAACATTCAGTGGCATATTTAGCAACTTCAGTGACTCCAGTGAATGGTGAAGCAATGAAAAGCCAAAGCAGTTAAGACAAAACAGTCTGAAATCAATCCGAGTCAGCTCTTTTGGATTCACTTTCAGGCACAAATTTAATTTCCCTTCATAGTTACTGCAGCTGCAAAAAGCACAACTTGTCCCAGCACTCTAACATTTTAGCAAATGCTAAGCTAACTGAGTTTATTACTGCTGAGACCACATCTCAAGATTGTCCTCCCACCCCTCAGTCATAGAAGGCAGAGACAAGATGACATTACTCTGTGTGAAATTTGACAGGTTGTGTTCCTGCATTGTGTAAAAGAGGAGACACCTGTAGCAAACCGCTACCTCTCACCGTTTTCAAAATATCCAGCGGTCGTGCCCATTACTCTTGCAAGGTATTATGAAACTAGAAATAGTGTGGACAGACATGTTAAAACCTATACTCTACAGTTTTAACACTGTAAGCTTAAAAACTGTTAACAACATATAAGAATATAAAAGCAAAGCATGTTCTGTATGTGTATGCATGAGACTGGAGGTGGGTCCTCCTTACCTCCTCATAGTCATTCTCCCCAGGTATGAAGTCATCCACCAGAGTGACCCGGTGGCCCAGTTGCTCACTCAGGGCATCCAGGAACTTGTCAGTGTCCCGGCTGCGAGGAGGGCGGGAGAAAGTGAACAGCTTCTTGCGGCGAGTCAGTGTGTTGGGACCACTGTCCGTGTGCTGGGGGGAGGCGGGGGGGCTCTCCAGGCTGACATAAGGGTTGGACTCCACACTGCTCTGGTGCTGGATCTCATACACGGTAGTTGGGAGAGGCTCCTTCCAGGATAGGGACAGGCCGGATTTACGGTTACCTGTATGGAAAGAAACAAAGATGCATCAGTAATGTATGATACCTACAGTGACATTTTTATCTATATGTCTTGGTTTATACTAAAGCTGATGTTACTTATATCTTCTAGAAATAATCTGTGACATTCTTGGCTGTGTTGTTGCCTTGGGAATGATTTCTTCTGAGGGGTTACTATGGCAACAAAAAGATAAACTGCAGGCTTATAAGCACATATAAATTGTAGGATGTGAATGAGTTCTAACCCAAACACATTCAAAACTCAGGTGGATCTCGTGCCATGTTCACATGAAGACTGATACAAGCTGACATTAAGCTTCTTTTTCATCTCAATAGCTTGGATTTAGAAGAACTCTCACATGACATAAACATGGCATCACTCATGCACCAGTGTGGTCCAAAATCATGCAGGCTTCATTCCATGTAAACACTATAGCCACTGATTTAACAACTTCTACTGCAGAATCTTGGACCTGACTGCACATGGTTGGAAGCCTCTGATGAAAGCATACCTC